GTCAAGCGGATCCCTAATTCCTTTGGAGTTTCTATTATACCCCGCTAATGACCTCAAAACCCCCCTAATTCATTATGGTCTGGCTCCTTTCAACATTAGTACAGCCCCTTTTAAAATGCTCATGAGGAATTTTTAGGGCCCTGGATTTATCATTTAATTTTTATCTATTATTAGGTGGGGCTGTATTAATAGCGGGAAGTGACTAAACAAGTATAACCCTCATGTCTGCAAGCCCCAGCCTCAATGCAGGCATCCACACCACGACCAGCCGGGTCTGAAGGATGTCGTGCTGGTGCCTCCCGGGCATTGGCGAGGAAAGCTGATGAATTCAGAGCATTCAGCAAGGCCAACGTGGAATATCACTTTAGATCTCGGGCGGCTGTACTGGCAAAATATGCAATGGAAGAGACGTCAGAAGCGCCCGACAACATCAAAGCTGTGCCAATGGTCCATCAGAATGTGAGATTCAGCCCTCCAGACGCGTATGTGGCCACGAACGCTCCTTGTCGCCCAGCCCCTCAAGAAGGCTTGACCGTATGAGCTGGCATGGCATACAAAGCACATCTCTTTTTTTACGTGTTTTTATGTTTTGTTGGCTAGCCGCCGTCACAGGTTTCGACAGCCGTCCAGAACGAATCCTACAATTGCAGCAAGGCCTTCTTCAGCATGACGAGGACTTTTCCGCCAGACATGGCTCATGCCGGCTCCATACTTGATGATGCAGGAACGATTGGCCCAGGTGGCTTTTGGAACTTTCCCGCTTCTCGGCGCTCGAGGCACCAGACATGTACTGTGAGAGGGCTCGCAGCAACCGTTGGAAGCATCTATAATTTCTGAGTTTGCCAGGCCAACCCTTGCTGCCGGTTCCACCGCTTGGAGCAGAAAAGCTGAGGTTTCGACTTTCGAAGTTGCTAGGAGCAAGCGACGTGCATTGCAGATTTTGCTGGTGCAGGATTGCTTTGCCACGGCGATTGCGCCTGGCCACTTCTAACAAGATCGCCAAGGGTTCAACAAGGTTTCTCACAACGTCGGTCAGTGCTTGTGGTCTTCACAGTGTTTGAAGTGGACAGGTACGAGCTGGTCGCTGCACAAGTTTGCGAGGATGAGGCGGGGCAGGAATCTACTGGGCCAGTGAATTTTGGGATTTTGCACAAGTTTGGCTTAGAGAACGGCCTGATGCAGCAACCAACCAAAATCAATTCTTTTCGGCTAGAAAGGGCGTGAAAGTTGGGAAATGGTCGGCCTGGTTTGCCACTCAATTCCCCAACATGATAATGCGTGGTCGTGGTATTGTGCTTGTTCGACATACGTCTGGGCCCAAAACTACAACAGGCCAGAGATGTGTCTCTGTATGATGTGGCGCACGAAGCTGTGCACAACCCGTCGATTTTCGACGCCGCTCGGTTTGAACGTCCAGCCGGAGTGAACCTGGACACTTTCATTCGCGCTCCGCGAAACCAAGGTGTCGTCTCCACGGGAAGCAGGCAAGGTGCTGGTTCCATCAGCCTATGCTTGTGATGTGCCTTGGTGTGCCCTGTATGTTTCCAGGACCATCTTTCCCGAAGCCGCCGTATGAAGTCAAACGGAGCTGCAAGACGCTGCAGGAAGTTGGGTACATGTTGGTCAGGTTGCCAGCTGTGCGTACGGGTCAGAGCTTTAATGTCAAGACCAAAAGGATTTGTCACCTTGCCTCATGAATGGGAGTTGTGAACGGGCTTCTGTGATTTTTTGCATTCGCAAGCTATAGTAAGCATTCAGACTGCGGGTCAGGACATCTTCTCGAAAGCAGATCGGCTCATCCAGAGCAATGCTGCCGAGGCATTGCGCCCATTTTTGGAGACAGCAGATTGGGATTGTTGAAAGTAATCCTGACACATGATGTTTTCTCTGTGCTTCTTTACTTACGTCGCAAGATTTCTAGCGGCACGGTCGCGGCATTTTGTATTGCATCTGAAAGGACAAGTGGGTGCCTCTGGCTTGGCAAATGGCATCAGCTGCATACGGCGCATGGGGCTCAGTCAAAAGAGCCGCGCCGACCCAACATGTGTCAGATATTCTTCATAAATCACGCCATGAACCCTACATTACCATAAGAAAGCCCACAGACTCCCTGAAAGCTTTAAGCAGCATTTCGACATGCGCAGCGCCATCTTAGCGTTGACTATACAGGCTGACCCATCTGAAGTGCTCCAAGTCGTTCGCGCGTGGCCCAGCAATTGTTGTATGTCGCTCAGTGAACTTGCAGAGACCTAGCTACCCTTTGCCTGTGGACATGCAAAATCGAACTGAAGGCAGCAGCATACCAGTGCAAAGAAGGTTTTGGTTGTTTCACAAGCCCCGGAGTGCGAGGCCATTTGGTACATGTTGCGCGAAGACGGCATGGGTTCACAGCAGCAACGAAGAAGGCCACACGTCATCGCGGCACATTCAGCAACACCGCTCGCAGCATTGGAAGCAACCATTGTGCAGCCTTGCGCCTGCAGCAGGACCTCCTGCTGTTAGCGAACTCAACGCTGAATACGCTCACGCATCGTTTGAAGGACTTGCATTTGGCTTAGCACCATACTATTTTGCCCTCATGCATGACGAGGAAATCGACACAGACCTGCTCATTGAGATTTTTGAGACCATGAGCCTTCTGCAAATCGGCAGCCAGGCCAAGCGATGCTGGATATTTCCTGTTAAGTACAAGCTCCAGACGTAATGGTAAAGAATGGCTTTCCCAAATATGCTGACTAAGCATACATATTGGCAAACTCTGTGCATCCACTAAGAACCCTAAACCCTAAACAGTAGTTTCCATTTTCTTTTCCACTATCCAGATGACAGTTACCCCATATAAAACCCTGTAGTTTCCAGCTTCTTCTCCGTTATGCCCCTAAACCTTGAACCCTCAACCCTTAAACCTACTGGGGCGAGGTGTTCCTGAATCTCCTGATGGTCCTCTTCTTGGCCCACCACCAGCAGGACAATAGCGTCGGCAGCCTCGGGTCAATCCCCTCCCTAGCCCAGAGGGCCAAAAACACCACATTTTTTGCCCCGATAATTTGGGCCAATCCCCCACCCAGTAATGGGTACCACGAGGGACTATTGTATGTCAAGGCCTTATTAATTCCATATTAAGGAGCTATCACTATAAGGGGGGTTGACCTAACCCATAGTTAGCGGTCAAGGAAAATACATTACATCACATCCGGGGTCCTAGTGGGATTTTAGGGATATTCCTTTATGCAAGGTGTCTTGGGTTCCCTGGGAACATTGAATATTCAGGGCATGGCTGGTTGTAGTATTAGGTGGAAGAGGGTGAGGGGAGCACGACTTGCAGGCCACCTGAAGAGCAACCTTCTCCAAACTTCTGGGCTTATGAACCCCTCAACTCTAAACCCTCAGCCTTAAACCCTAGAGGGTAATGATCAATTAGGATGCGGCCACAATCCCTTTATACTTCTCATGTATTCACAGGGTCTTTAACGCCCTCGTCACCTTTTTCATAAGCATTCTATTATCTCTTGGGGATATGTGGCCTGACCATCGTGGCTGAGACCCCCACCTCGCAGAATGGCTTGGCCATTCCTTGTTTGTCCTCTTTTTTGTGTGCTTTTCCTGCTTGTATGGTTTCCCATATTTAGAACTTGTTGTATATTTTCTGAAGCCCTAGGTCAGGAGAAGCCCAAAAGTTTGCCTACAGACGTACATGCATTAATACATGCATACATACATACATACATACATGCATGCATGCATGCATGCATGCATGCATGCATGCATGCATACATCCATATGTGCATGTTCACAGGTTTAAGCCCTAAACCCTAAATACCTAAAACCTAAACACATTCAATCCTCCAAAGCCCTAAAGCCCTTGACCCCTGAAAACCCTTAAGCCCTACACCTCTTTGACGAGTGCCCAAGGTGCCAGATGAAGAGCAGGCTTGGCGCGTGAGCAAGGCCGACAGATGTGGGTTCAGGGTTTAGGCTCTAGGGTTTAGGGGTTTAGGGTTCAGGGTTTAGGGTTTAGGGTCCTCAAAGTAAGGGTACGTTTGTAGGGAATATAGGTGCTGTTATGAGAACATTGGGGTTATATCCTTTAAAGGGAATACAGGCGCTGATATCCCTTAAAGGGAATATCGGGGCGTATAAGGATGTAAGCACCTTGGGGTCTATACTGGGTCCCTTTATTTTGGGAAACTGCCATGTGATGATTACTTCAACTCCACAAAAATGTATAGTTTTTAGGTTTAGGTGTTGAGGGTTTAAGGTATATATTGGGGTTGTATACGGTATGTAGGGTACATGTTGGGGCTATATGGGGGGTTTAGGGTTTGGGGTACAGGGAGTTAATACAGGGTCGTATAGGTTCTTTGAGGGTTACTTGAATCCCAACAGTAGGCAGAATGGAGAGGTTTTGACTTTTGTAAAAGACAGTAGGTTTTGAGTCATATTGTTACCTAGTTTTGGGATGCAGATAAATGTTTGCGTAGGCTTCCAGTGAAGTTCATAACGACACGCCACACTTCAAAGAGAAGCAAAGTGGTGTGTTTGACTACAACGTTCAACCCCATAGCCCTAGTCACAAACCCCTGCCAGCAACCAGATAAACAACCATACTATCTAGTGTTAGCGGGGTGAAGGTTTTTAGTATTAGGGAGTGGGATAGCCATGATGCTGCTCATCCGTGCGACTACCGATGACCTTTGTCATTTATCCGGTTACAAACATTATGACTTGAGGGCTGCGCCCCGCACATTGACAGCTGGATACAGTACATAAGATTACTATATGGGGCCCTAAGTAGGACCCCTATTGCAGTCTGTAAGTTGGTGGAGGTAGGACCCAAATTGTGGTTGGTACCTTGCAGATGCATCCAAGACCTCTAAGCTAAAACCAAGCTACCCCTCAAGTAGCTAATCCTTTCACACCCAAACCCAATCCTCACATTGAAGGCACAAGATCCTGAACCTTGGGCCCCAGATCATATGTAGATGCTAGTGTAACCAGAAAGCCTACATGGATTCCCGGGCATACACAGAGCCCTAAACCTCAACCCAAGCCCCAACACTTGTATGTGTTTGTTTGCTTGCTTGGGTTTTCTTCAACAAGGTGGCTTGTCCGCAAAGACAGAGCAGTTAATGAACCGCTTTGCACAAGAGCTCCTTTCTCCTGCTGGGGGGCCTTTTCTGGACGCAGTGCAACTCCTCAATCACCCTCTATGTAGACATTTGGTTGCTGAAAGATTCGTGGTTGCTGGAAGTAGGCTAGGTGGGAGCGGCAAAAACCAAACCCTGCCCCTACATCCTATGAGCTCCAGTATAGTCCAGTATGGTGCCTACATATGCCCTGCTATGAGAGAGCCCGGGGTCGTCTAAGGAGGTGCCTATTTGGAGGGTCAGGGAGACTTAGTAAGTAGGTTATAAGCGGGATAATTAGGGTTACTATGTGGGTTATTGGGGTTATTAACCTGCTTATTAAGTCCCCCGGACCCTCCAAGTAGGGCATAGGGCTTCGGTCTTAGGGTTTAGGGTAGTTTAGGGAAGTACTTGTACAGGTTGCTAAAGGTTTGTTGCCGCATCACTTTGAGAATCTAGTTTGCAAGGATTCGGAACAACATCCCCATTCCCTGGAACCCAGAAACCATTGAAACCCGAAGCTGATACACCCTGAACCCCAAAGCCAGCAAAACCGTAAACATCTACATCAACCCTACCCAAAACCCTGAACCCTAAATGGTAGTTTCCACCTTCGTTTTCACTATCCCGATACAACCCCTAGATAACACGAGATTATCCCTCTATAACCCCAATATATGCCCTAGGTACCTACTACTGGTATATTGTAACCCCAATGCATACCGTTGATGCCCTATACATCCCTATATAATTGCATACCCTACAAAGCCACATTATACACCTTAAGCCCTATACTCCCCCTTAAGTAGATGTGGCTTCTGGTATATTATAATAAGATCCCCATATACCCCATATTCTATACCCTAGATTATGTAACCCATTAGAGTAGTTTCCATTTTCTTTTCCATTATCCCCTCTAGGGGCCCCTAAACCCTAAACCCTAAACCACGTGGTCCTATTTGTAATAGCGAGGCTCTGGCCCGATTGCAGCGGCAGCCAGGATTCAGCCCCAGGGGCCGAGGTACCTGGTCTTAGACGCTTTGGGAGGGTTTAGGGTTTAGGGTTTAGGGTAGTTTTGGTTTCTGGGTTTACGATATACCGAAAGGTTTAGGGTCTAGGATTTATTCAGGGTTTAGCGATGTGGGCTTAGGGTCTAGGATCTAATTTAGGCTTGGGGCTTAGGGTTTAGGATTTATTCAGGGTTTAGGTGTTGGGTTCAAAGTTTTGTGGGTGCACAGTTAGGGGTTGAAGAAGTCATGTTTCAGTTTTGTAATTAATATGCAATTGCGAACAACAGCGGTTTATGGCTGGATCAGGGTCTTCTTCATTGGGACTAGGGTTTGTGTTGGTCCTGGGCTGCGAACTATATTATATATGACGGATAACGGGCTTGTCAAGGAGCCAGCAAGGGATGCCACAGGGAGTGCTAATAGTTGGTTTTTGTGTGCTGGAAAACAAAAGTACATAGAGTACATAGGAAACACAAAGGTGCCTTTCTCCAGACTAGAGTCTGCTATGTGAGAACAAGATATTCAACATAGTTTCAAGGCCTGAGTACTTGTGCAACCCTAAACCGGGTCATGTCACCGTTCCTGACGAGTCATTGGGGTCAGGTGCAGCTATGGCCGGGGGGCAGACCCTAAGCCCTAAACCCTAAACCGCATCCGCCTCCCTGCGAACCCCGCAGCCCTAAACCACGTATCTTCTCCTGCCGCACAGTCCCCCGGATCATTTGCAATCCCAGACCCTTGGGCGAATCTACAAAGTAGATCCCCCCTTAAGGGTTCCTAATAACTACCCCTGTCGGGCACCATATGGGGGGGTTCTACTTTCTAGATCCTCCCAGGGGTCTGGCATCCCAAGCCACCAACTTGCAACCCGTAAATCCCTGCATGAACCCCCTATGAAATCGCATTGCCCATTTCAGTTTCCATTGGTGTTCCATGTCGTTCTGAATGGTTCGGGGTAAGCTCCCTAACCCCTGAATAATGCCTCTACAAGCATGTACAATCTCTATGTCATCCCTGTAAGTCCGTACATAATTCCTGTAGATCCTCATATACTTATATATCTCCCTAAGCCCTCAAAACCCTAAACCCTAATGCCCCTCAAGTGTTTGCCAAGGACCTGCCAACCTACGGGGCGGTTTGCACCGTCACGTCCTTGGCCCTTTCCAAGTTGAAATTCAGAGCTTCAAGAATTCCCGACCAATTTATCATCTTTTTTGAAACCCTATTATAAGGATATAGGCATATATATATATATAGTATATTGGGATGTATGTTGGAGGCTGCGCCCTATCTATGGGTTCACGGTTTGAGAGCTTGAGGTTCTGCTTCAGGCTGATCATGGCGGTCCTTCCTGCTGATTATGTGTTTTTTCTTGGGAAAAGGTCCATGCATGGAAGACACCAGGAGTTCTGAGTTCGGAGCTCAAAAGCAACGTCCTTTTGTTTAGCACCTTCCTCCTTTGCTGAATATGTTCTTCTGTCTGTTGTCCAAAACTGGCCATCGTATGCGTTGAAACGAAACATGTCAACAAGTCCATACCAGTTCTAGTAGCATGTAGTGTATCAGGGCTGACAGTCTTTGTTTAGTCAGGGGGTCTGTGTTCCATAGGGGCATGGCTCTGACCATGACGAGTGCCTGGCAATCAATTCTCGCAGAGATGCCTAAACAATACACATAACATGGTAGTATTCTTGTGCTCTGTTACTCAAATGACGGTGACTGAAATGGAAGACGACATGGAAACTGGGTCTATACAGGCGTGTGTAGTGCTGGCAACAGTTGTGGTGCCAGTCCTCGTAGCAGCGAGAATAATTTGTGCGTATGGGCCGACCATCCCTGAACTTTAAGCCTTAATCTTCGCAAGCCTGGTAGAGTTTAGGGTTTAGCAGCTATGCAGCTCCCTAAACCCTAAACCTCCGCACACCCCCGATGCATCCTGAAGCCAATACAAAATTACCCTAAACATTAAGCCCTGAAAAACATACCTCAGACCCCCTGGCTTACTGTTTCTTACTAGGCAATAAGGGAAATTCAGTATTTAGGGATTAGATTCAGCTCGGGATAATATTCCCCAATTCCCTACTAACCAACAGTAGACTAGAATATGGTGGCTTTCGTGAAGTGGGCGACCCATAGAGACCCCAATATATTCTAGCCTTTGTTATGGACTGGGGCCCCTACAGTAGTTTCGGAAACACTCAGATTCCAAGCCCGGAGCTCTTTACAGCACATACCCCAAACCTCCATGTAACATTGGGATATTACAGGATAATCTAGGATTATAGGGTAGAATAGGAATAATGGAGCAGAAAATGGAAACTACTATATAGTATATTGGGGTGGTATTCTCAACTCTAGAAAATCTACGCCTGCAGAGGCTCCCCCGCGTTGGCCAACCAGCGGCTGTTACAGCTTCTGTGACGTGGTCGGAAAAAGATTTTTGTTGTGGCTTTACAAATGCTAAAGCTAGATACATACTGAATGCGGGATGTTTAGTTGGAGAACTAGGTTGTGGAATACCTGGTTCTCCATTGAATAGTATTTCAAGCCGGCGAGTCGTGAGGCTTGAATGCGGAGGATGGAGGCTAGGTTGCGAAAAGCAGCACGAAGAAGGTGAATTACCTTCCCCTACACTAACATGCAACCCCAAACCCTGAACACGACAGTCCCTTCGAAATGGGGTCCATGTGCTCCATTAGATTCTTTGAAGATGGGCTGCGCGGGTAAGCAGCTTGCAGGACAAGAGCGCGCACAATGAGCTAGAGTAAACTCCTTCAAGGGGGATAAATAGGGGATTATATCAGGGAGAATCCTAGACCCCTAAAGGATCCAAAAAATGAGCCCCTCAATATTCCTCTAGGTTCCCTAGTGTAGTAATGGAGCCTTGTTTTGGGGGTTCCATTTTTTGTATCCACTAGGGGGTCTAGGATTATAAGGGTCTTTAAGGGGGATATTTGGAGTTTACGAAAAAACTTTCAACCCTGCGGCTGAAGCTTCCAACCCCCAAGCCGTAATCCCTTTGGTCCTTTTGGTCTCAGCTCGCACTTCCTGACTAAGCCAGATTCGCACCCTGCTATGCCGTCTGTGCCACCCACCAGGCCCCCCAAAACCAGAAAAAAAAAGCACCCAGACACCCCACAACCCTGCGAGAGGCCCTCGCAGCCCCGCCCCAGAATTTCCTCTCAGGAACCCCCAGATGCCCCTAAAAGCCTCAAAAAAGCCTTGTGGCTGCTCTCCCAGGCGTCAGAGGCTTCCTGAGGCGGCGAAGAAAGATTCGGACTTGGAGGCGCTTGGGGTGTATATGATGTTATCTATGGTCTAAACTCCTTAAAGGGAGCTTATATTGAGGATAATTCAATGTAGGTTTTGGGGATTTAGGGATTTGGGGTTTAGGGTTTAGGGTCTAAATTCCTAAAATAGGGATTACATAGGGGACTATATAGGGTTCTATTACAGAGCGTATCAAGTGTGATGCTAGGAGTTTAAACCATAGCACATATAAGCACCTGGATAATTGCTTACCAGTGTCACTGCAAAAGAGCGTGCAAATTACTAACTGCCATAAAATTCAGGGATTAAGGTTGAGGGCTTAGGGGCTTACAGAAATACCAATAATAGACCATCAAGTGGGAAAGCACATAGAAGATGTGAACGCACAAGCAAATGGAACATGAAATGGTCAGTGGGAGTATATGGGGTTTAAGTGGCGTTTATGGGGGGGCTGTCAGTGAATAATTGCCAACGTTATCGTCCTGGATTCCCTGCAAAATCATGACATAGGGTACCTCAAATAGACTTCAAAATGATATTGACAATTATTCACGGCCCTAAACCCTAAACCCTAAACGACCCTGCAGTAGGGTAATTGAGGTGTCTTTAGGTCGTGGGGCGGTGTGTAGTTTTAGGGGCACTGTCAGGGCCATATGGTAATTTCCCAGCACAAGAGGCCCCCAACAAAAGAACCCCCAAAATACTATAAATCTTCATTATGAGGAATGAGGACCCCAAGAAGGTACCCCTAATTTATGGACACCCCCATGTGGGGTTGTATCAGGTTTAGGGTTGTGCGGTCTAGGCTTTAATTTAAATTGGGAATAAACCCTCAACCCTAATTTCACACCCTAGCTCCAGGGTTTAGGGTCCTCCTTATGGATTTCACACACGCCTAATCTAAGAAAGTGGATTACGAGTTTTGGGGGAAACCGCCGCGTGGGAAACACCCCAAGTGGGCCGTACAAAGACTACTGTCCTTTGTAAAGGGGACTCCTCAAAAATCTTCATATCTTTCTGAAAGTTTAAAGCTGCAATGTTGAAAGCTTTGGAGGGATGGATTCCTATTCTGGTCCCATCTTTTGGGGCTTCTTATATTCATGAGTATGGGGCATCCAAAGCCAGAAAACCTCGCAATCCCAAATCCCCAAACGCTAAGCAGCCCTCATAGGACAAGCAGGGGCGCAGCGGAGTTGATGGGCCAATCCTTTAAGGCCTCAAGCCTTCAAGCGCCCAACTTATAACCCCCAGTGATGGAGAATCAAGTGGACAAGAAAATGGACAACGCAGGTGGTTTGCAGGGTTTAGGGCCAGGCAGGGGAAACCCAAGTTATTACTAAGAACCATCCTATGGGTCCAAGGACCCAAATATTAGGGCATTAGGTCCCAAATACCATTCAGATTAATTATAGTATTTGGGCCCAAAAAAACAATTATTTGCGTCCTTGGACCTTTAGGGTATTCGATGGTCCTCGATAATTATTCTTCTAAAAACCACGAGTGCTTTGAAACCCCCAGCCTTCCCTGGCGTGCTTCGTATTTCGGGTTTAGGGTTGAGGGTTTACGGTAGGTCGCGCTTTCCTAGAGTGCCCAAGTACCCTATAATTTAGCATTCAGGACTTGCGCAGTAGCAGTCATGGTGCAGTATGTCGTTTTTATGTACTTGGAACCCAAGGCTTTGGGATAAGTATTAATTTCCCGTATTGGTGCCTATTCATAGAAATTTGTGGGGCCTTCACAGTTCCGTCCATTTTGTGTTTTGGTAGTCCTGCCATGTAGGACATTGTCAAGACGTAGGCAGCTTCTTGGGCACGTTTCATGATATGATCCTTCTGCTGTGGGCCTTAGCCTGGCATCCCGATTTTAAGAGCTACTTCCCGAACAACCCCCTCCCGCCCCCCCCCCCCTAACACCCCGTTCCAACCCCGAACCCTTCCTTGGAGGGTCAGGGGGACTTTGCAAGTATGTTACTAACCCCAATAACCCATATGTCCCTCCAAGTATTGATACGACTGTTAAGGAGGGTTGCCACTTCATCTGTGTGTTAGCATGGCTCTGCTGCTTTTGGAAGGCGCTCGGGCAAGTGATGGGTGGCCCCTTCCTACCGTGAGGATGTTTAGATCAGACAAGATGGAGAGGCCATTCTTGTTGATGCAGCCCGTAAATCAAACCACACGAACATGATGTATTCCTTACATGGGTTGGTTTATGAAAGAAGTTTCATGCTTGTCCAAAGGGGCTTGGTTGGGCATCAAGAAAGGTGCCCATGGCGAAGATCCAAGGGATTAGCCAGCTCGACGACTTAGAGGATGTCGGAAGTGCTCTTCAGCTTAGAGCAACCTGTGCGAACGATCAGCATGTTTTATGAGAGAATTGTACGGGCACCTTCGACTCCACTCTAGACTCGGTTTTCCGAGGAAGCGTGTTAGCACAAAGTGCTCAGCCGGCCATGCCAGAGCTAATGTTCGGCATTCAACGGCTTAACGCTGCTATTTTGCTAGTTCAACTGCCTTTTTTATTGGGCAGCTGTGTCGTGCTAATGTAGGCATATTGGATGCACATGCCCTGAAGCAGGGGCAGGTTGCCACGGAACATTGGAAAGAATCAGCTGCAGGTGGTGCCAGGTGTGTGCAAGTCAACCTTCTGGAGTGCGTGCTCGGTATGGCTGTTTTATGAAAATCTGTCTTCGGAGCAGAAAATGTGCAGCATAATACATCCTCAGACACACCACTCCAAAGAGGGGCTGCGAGTACAATCAGGCTTCACATGCGCACCATCTCCTCACTGGATGCTTGTAGGGAATGGAGGAAGGGATCTTTGTAGCAGCCCGGTTATCCCAACCATTTCCTTTGCACGCACTAGCAGCACGTAAGTCTCTGCAAGCGTTTGGGCCCTGCAGCGAGTGGGGATTGGCGCATTTGGTGCACTTGGGTGCACTCAGTGTAGATTTCGGGGTGAGGCAGAGTGCCTCTGGGCCTGATGAAGAAGGCCATGAAGAAGAAGGTTATTAAGAAGGTCGCCAAGGCAGAGGCCAAAAAGAAGCCAGATCCTGCGCCTGCCGACGACGATGATGACGAGGAGGAAGAAGATGATGTGCCACCTCCAGCAAAGGGGAAGGCCAAAGCAGGGGCAGCAGCCAAAGCTATGGTTGACGATGACGATGATGATGAGGACGATGAAGATGATGATGAGGAGCCTGCGACTCCGGCCAAAAAGGCAAAAGCCGCACCCAAGAAGCCGCCTCCCGAAGACGACGATGACGATGAGGATGACGATGAGGACGAGGACGATGAACCAGCCCCCAAAGTCAAGGCAAAAGCGAAAGCCGCTGCAAGCAAGCCAGCAGCCGCTGATGATGATGATGATGAGGAGGAAGAAGAAGAGGGCGACGACGAGGACGAGGAAGAGGAGGAGGTGCCGTTGAAGAAGAAACGCGTTGACGTGGATGGCGGAGGCAGATTTTGCATACGTCCCACAACTGAGACCAAACATCGCCTGAGATCAACTTTTTGCAAGCCCTGATTTAGCTTGTTCGCAGGTGCGATGACCAAAGTCTTTGTTGGAGGAATCCCCTGGAATGTCACCGAGAAGCAGTTAAGAAAAGACTTTGAGGAATGCGGGGAAATCGAGGACCACAGCCGCAATAGCCAGCCAGTTGTGCTTAGCCTGGGGCTTAGGAAGCAGTGGCTTCTCAATGTGGGGGTTTCCTGAAATTGGGGGTACCATTCTGAAGGTCCCAATAATAAGGATTATAATATTTTGGGGTTTACATTGGGGTCCCCCCTTTTAAGGAAACTACCATGTATGCTGCTGGAAGTGTTTTTGAGTAGATAGCAAAAGTACGACGGCATGAAATGAGAGCTCCATCCATGTTTACGCCCAGGCACCTTAAGACCCGTCTGCCTCTGACTGGTTGTGAGTAGGTAATAAGGAAAATATACAGTCCCTATAAAATCTCAATATAACATATCCCCATATGCCCTACTAACAACCAGAAAGACCTGTCAGGATATGGCTTTGCCAGCAAAAGTGGCATTCATCACGTTCAAAACCAAAGCTGGTGCCAACAAGGCCGGTCCCGCTGTGATTTAGCTATTTCTGCTAGTAGTGTTACTACTGCTTTGTTACTACTATCCTGTCTCTTGTTACTGGTATTACTATTTCTGCTAGTAATCGCTACTGTTATTATTCTTTGTACTGTTATTTCTATGTTTCATGAACATTCATTTCAGTCGGAATCATAACCCTGTCCCCCTCAAAAGAGATCTCCACAACCCTAAATGCATATTCGCCCATTGTGTGTTGGTGTTGTGTTGGGGGAATATTTTTTAAGCATCAGCGGGCCTCAGCAGTTGGTTCGTGTTGTCATCGAGTAAACTGAGCTTTCCCAAATAAGATGGGACAAAAATTGGTCTTGAAAGCCAAGCCCCAGCGCGTCTAATCTCTTCCCTCTGCTCAAAACACCTAATAGGTATTCTGATATAGGACAATTTCCCAAAGTAAAGGGACCCCGATATAGACCCCGAAATACTCTACCTGCGATCTTGGGAAAACACCATATTACGGGGCAGTCTTCAACCAAGAAGTGGTGGGGGGGTTTAGTATCCCCGCAAGGAGTTTTTACACGATTTAGGATAGGGTCAGTCTACGGCCTTGGGTTGGGGTTTAGAGTTTAAGGGTTTGGAAGGTTTAGGGATTCAGTTTGGACATCGTCATAGCAAAACTCACGAAGCCGGCATATGGGCACCTTTAACTGTATTGCCAAGACCCTCACCCCAACCTTTAACCCGAAATTCAAGCCACAAACCCGCAACCGTGAGCTGTAAGCTAAACCCTATATGCATATCCCCGAAGCTCTAAGCCCTGAATTCGAACCCCTGGGCCAGAACCTTAGACCCCAAGCTCTGAAGCCTAAATTTGAACCCCCAAGCCCTGGATGCGAAACCCTACTTATCCTTATCCCTACACCTTCCAACGATCCCTATACGTATATACTCATACTCCCTTTAAAGGGGTCCTCAATTTCTTTTGTTTTGTTTAAGCGGGTCCCTACAAACTCTGCGCAGCTGTTCAGGCCTTAGAGTTCGACGGCGACGACTATGGAGGCAACACCCTGAAGGCAGGTTCAGCCACGCTTGAGCGTTTAGAGATTGTTTTTTTGCTTGCTTTTTATTGCAGATCTTTGAGGTACCTCTTGCTTTGATTTTGAGCTTAAGGCGTTGGACACTCACAATGAGATCCCAAACTTTTGGCCCCACAGCTTAAACTTTCCCAAGAACGCCCATTACCTACAGTCCTAGGAGCCTTTGGGCTGTTGTTCACGGCAATGCTCTGTCTTGGCTTTCATTGATCAGCAGTATTATTCTCCTTAGCAGTCGTGTCATACGTTGCATATTTTGGCTTTGCAGTCTAATTGACAGTCTGGTGCTCAACTATGTTTACATCTTGAAGTATGAATGCCCCGAAGACTGCATGTCGTACAGTAGAGGTTATTGAAGCCTGTGCAAGAGCTTTTCCATCCACCGCCGCAGCAAGCTGACGCAACAGGATTTGGTTGCAATTCACACGGTCCTGACGGCATGTTTGTTCACCCAAGAGAGGGTATGCATTTGTTGGAAACCGTGGGGAAGTTTGGGAAAGGGATGCCGGAAGCCCTATAGTCCTTGAACACCTTTTTTGAATGACTTGCAACCGTGAGTTTTCTGTAATACTGCGGTACCCGGCAATATACCCCGCATCTGGTTCAAAGCCTGTTAGTAACAATAGTCACTCATCACTTTAGGATACTTTAGGGTACCTTAAGCCCTAAACCTAAATAGCCCAACCTGCTGCCCGTGAACCTTCCGGAATTCCCCTACAACACGAAGCGGCCAGTTGATCAGGTGAACATTGCAGAGAACAAGGGGAAAGGCAAGGATGGTAAAGGTAAAGATGGGACACTTGGCGGGTTTAGGGTTTAGGATTCAGGGTTTGGGGTTTAGGGGCACTGTAACACGTTTGGGGTGGTCAGAAGTTATGGTTCCCTTTTTTGGGGTCCCCGGAGTGAAATTGTCGGGTAGCCAGAAAAAGACAATAAGTGTGACAACCTGCCAAATGAATCGTGGGGATTGAAAGAGCAACCAAGGAAAGGAAAGGGCAAAGATAAAGGCGACCTGTCACTGCTGCAGTCAGGGTTTAGGGTTGAGGGCTTTGGGATGCCCAGGGAAGGGGACTCTATTCAGAGGTCCATAAACCCTAAACCCTAATTATGCCCAAGTTTGCAGGGTCCACCTTATGATATCCCCCTTGCAAACAGAACTTTTTTGTGCATGTCAGGGTTGTCCCTCAACCCCAAAGACTATTCTTCTTGCCGGCCCCAAGCTCTAAGCGGGAAACAAGGTTGCGGATGGCTTGTGCAACAAACGCAGTGTGGCCAAGGCAAAGACAAAGGAAAGGGCAAGGGAAAAGGAAAGAAAGGCACATGAGCCTTTTGACGTATTTTAACTTTTGGTTTGGTGATGCTATCATATACCTTCCTGGCACTATGAAGCCCCTGCAGCTGCCAGTGAGAGATGGCAGGTAAAGATGGCAAAGACGGCAAGGGAAAAGGCAAAAGCAAAGAGAAAGGCTGGCACTGTCGACATTGTTGGCTGAATTCTGTCATTGCAGTTTGCACAAAAGCTGGGGCAGCACAATTTTCGTTTCATACGACCTGAGATGCCGACCCAACTTACACCCATCTTTGTAAGTTGCTGCATGATGCATCAGCGCTGAGCAAGGCAAAGGAAAGAAGGGCAAAAGCAAGGCCCTTGCAGAGTTCTTAGTGTGAATTGCGGTGCTCACTCCGGCAGACATGTCGGGATGTCTCAAATCCTTGGGGATGTAGCGGGGCCTTCGTTTGGAGAAATGCCCACATGTGTCGCTGAGCCTTGCTACGCAGAAATTTGACGATGACGACGATGAGGATGACGAGTGAATAGCGGAGCTGAAGCCAAGCAGTGCATTCCGTTACTAGCTTGCTGTGTCAATTTTCGAATATGCCTCTTGAAAACTTGCTGTGGTTCGCATGAGGCACGCCCGAAGGCGTGCGCGAATGTGCGGGCACCAGCACATGGCCATTGCTTGGTTCCGAACAAACCATGGGTTTCAGCTAGTCACGTCTCTGTGCCTTCTGCAGGCGATCAGCACTGTCTGTCGGGTTCGCTTGAATCTATCCGTTTGTTCTGCCTCGAAGCGCCTGCAGTTGGCCCTGAATGATTTCACGAAATTATTAAAATCTGGCCTTGCGAGGGCGGGCTGCGCTCGTAACAGACACCGTGCGATCTGCGCGAGTCCAAAGGGAAGGCAGCAGATCTGTGCGTTGGCTCCTTACCATTTTATGATTTGTAGTGTCGTGTCAAATCTTTCACTGATATCACTATTACTATTAAAATTTTGCTGCTACTGCCATTACTGTTACTACTCTTCCTGTGGCCTCATCCCCAACTACCCAAAGAGTCCATGGAGCTATACGGTATATACTTGGGCCTTAAAGTAGGTACATGTGAACCCCTCTGGGCCCTACGTATATAACTTATACCTACATGAACCCTTTGGGATAGTAGATGGGAGTTCATGCTCCCTTCCTGCCTCTGGGGGGCAGTGCCTAGTCGTATACATGCTGGAATAGAGAAGTACTGCTTACACCGGATATTTGGAGGACTCGTGCGGTCAAATTGCGCAGGGATGACGATGAAGCTTGAGAACCCGTGCGCCTACTGTTGCTCAAAGGGAGGGCTGTTTGGCCAGCCGGCCCAATGCTAGAAACTTGTCTGCACAAGTGGTGGGAACGGTCTGGGCTGTAAGGGGGCTAGAAAAGTGTCAGCTTTTGGGGCAGTAGTGCGTCAACGACGAATCAGCACATCACATCTAGTTCTTGACTGGGATATGGTATGCTTTCAAGGACTTTCATGTGTGAAGCTTGCTGCGCGGAAGATCCTGAAGCAGCCACGGCCTTTCTATACCTACTCCATCTTACGCCTAAATCACAAACCCCAAGCTTAAATGGCAGCTTCCATACGAAAGCCCCGAACCACCAGGGCGCGAATACCGCGCCTGTTCGGCCCCGCGCTCAAAGCACCGCTGACATCGACAGCAGCAGCTTCCCGGTTATTGCTTGGCATGCTTTGCACTAGGGATTATACGAGCTACAGATAGCTACAGTCTAAACTCCTCAAAGGGGGATTACATAAGGGATTTTAAAGGGGATTGTTATAGGTATTAAGAAAGATACTAGGAGTTTAGACTATAGCTCATATAGGGTTATATCGGGGTGACACAGGATTCTACAGGGACATATTGTAGGGCTTGTGCAGGGTTTAGGGATATGACCTTAACAATGTTGAGCCAGATGGAAAAGAAAATGGTCAACGAAGTGGAAACTAGCGTTATGTAAGGTTTTTAGTGGTTAGGGCTACCTGGAGGGTGAGTGAGACTCAGTAGGTAGCTTCATAATAGGGACAACTGAGGTTAAGATGAAGATATGGGAAGAAGACATGTATGACATGTACTGATTGTGCCTTACCTTTGCTCAACATGGAATCAAGGAATGGATTTCCTCATCCAGTGTTCACCAGAGGAAAGTGTTGTCTAGGGATGTCCAGAAAATTCCTTTCAGTTGTTGTTTATGAAAAGCTCAGCACAAACCGCAACAATGCGCTCTCGGGAGGGATCCAGGGGAGGTAAGAGTTTGAGGGGTGGGGACTCTACACTGCTTCGGGCTGAGGATTAGGTTGGAAATCGGGCAAAGGAATGAAAGCCTAGGATTCTGATTTCAAGATGCCTCCGGCATCTTCGCATCTTCATCGCTGCCCTCGGTTTAAAAGGGCCTCTAGACCAACGCCACAAACATGGATCCTTTTCGGTTCCCATCATGGCAGAAACCTAGGACATGCGAGTCCCGAAGTTCAAGCAGCTCGGAGCTTGTGCCTTGCCTGCTTGATCCAATTTGTGCAGGAAAGGAGTTCCCCTTGGATACTGCCCCGACTCATT